CGCCCTGTCGGTGCGCGGAGGGCCGCGACGCCAAAAAGGGGTGTGTGTGTGTGAGTGTGTGTGTTTTCGCGCTGGTGCCGCGCTCGGCCTGGAAGTGGGCAGCCTAGAATAGTTGCAATGCCAAGTTGCTCCTGCACTCGTATCCAGCTCCCGTGCCCTCCTTCGAAGGAGCCGATTCGGCCCTCTACAGCTGGGCTGCTGGCCACAACAATCTACTCTTCAGTGGCATCTTGCGTAGAATGCTGCACTGACTGCCTCCGCGTCGCACCTTTACGCGGGCTGCGAGGAGCAGTTTCTTGCATGCGTTACACCTCCTGCGTGCCGTGTCGTTGTGCTCCGCCTGTTTCGGCACCCCTCCATGACTCTAGTGCTGTTCACGTGCACCCGCGGTCTCTCGTTTCTTGCTGCACGCGTCTGCTTCATCTGGACCTCCCATCTGCAACGAGAGATTGAAGTTGAGCTCAGCGCGCCCCGTCTTGGCACTCGCTGTGGTGCCACCCGCCCGCTGGAGCAAAAGTGCGCGTGTGTGCGTGTGTCTGTGTGTATTTGTGTGTGTGTGTGTTCGTGTGTGTATTCGTGTGTGCGTGCGTGCGTGCGTGTGTGCGTGCGTGCGTGCGTGCGTGTGTGTGTGTGTGTGCGTGTGTGTGTGTGTGTGCGTGTGTGTGTGTGTGCGTGTGTGTGTGTGTGCGTGTGTGCGTGCGTGTGTGCGTGCGTGTGTGTTAGTGTGTGTTAGTGTGTGTGTGTGTGTGTGTTAGTGTGTGTGTGTGTGTGCGGGCGGCTTGGGTCTTTTTGCCCACGCCCGCCCGGTCTTGCACCGGCGTGCTCGCCGCAGGTTTTTCGCCTTACAGCTGGGCATCTGGTCGCTTGCCTGTGGCCACTGCGCTTTCCGCCCCGTTCGCCCATCTCGCACCCTGAACTGCGTTGCGGTCGGTGGAGCCTGTGTGGTCTTCTCTGCCTGCACCTGTCCGTGCGGTTTCGCCCTCACCGGTTTGCATGCCCTTCGGTATCTTCAGCATGCGCCTGCTTCGGCGGTTTTGTTGCTGTACGAGTCAGCCGCACCCTGACCATTCATCTGCGTCGGCGGCGCGGTGACACCCACCCCGCCGCCGAAGGAAGTAAACTGTGGGTGGGGGGTGCTGGGACTGTGGTTCCCGCGACCTTTGCACGCCCGCATGGGTTGATCCCCCCGCCGCGTGCGACAAAATTTGTTTTTTTTGGGGGGGGTAGAGCGGGTGCAGGAGGAGGGGGGAATGGGGGGGAGGCAAATGAGGACACGTAAGAGCGCACGGATGAAGGAGGATGGCGGGGCGGAGGGGGGGAACGGGAGGAATGAGATGAGGAGGAGGAGGAGGAGGAGGAGGAGGAGGAGGAGGAGGAGGAGGAGGTAGAGGAGGAGGAGGAGGAGGAGGAGGAGGAGGAGGAGGTAGCAGGAGGAGGAGGTAGGAGGAAGGAGGAGGAGGAGGAGGAGAGGAGGAGGAGGAGGAGGAGGCGGCGCAGGAGGAGGATGAGGAGGAGGATGGGGAAGAGAAGGAGGATGAGGAGGAGGAGAAGGCGGAGGAGGAGGCGGAGGAGGAGGGGGAGGAGAGCATGGGTGTTTCAGGTTCTCTTCCTTGCATTTTCGTGCCTGTCTGGACGCATCGGTGCATGTTTGTACTTCGCTTTCTGCGTTGGGACGTCGAAGGGCGGGCGAGGAGAAGGGGGTATAGGAGGATGAAGGAGGAATTGGAGAAACAAGCAGGAATGAGATGGGATGAGGTTGAGGAGGAGGAGGAGGTTGAGGAGGAGGAAGAGGAGGAGAAGAAGGAGGAGGAAAGAAGGGGAGGACGAGGAGGAGTGCGGAGAGGGGATGGAGGGAGGGAGGTGGGGGAGGAACAGGATTAGGAATCCGAAGACGAGCATATGACAAAAAATATGAGGAGGGACGAGGGGAAGGCAGGAGGAGAGAGAGAGGAAGAGGAGGATTGAGTTTTCGGGTGGCAGGGGCGAAAGTGTGTTCTGCTAGGAGTGAGACAGGGAATCGCGTTTCTCCCTAATAGCTTGTCTGTAAGGGTCCTGAGGGTCCTTATGTGTTTCAAGACCGGGTGTGAGCCTCGCTGGATCCAGAATCGGTGGTCAGTTGTCTCCAGCATTGTTTCCGTTATGGTATCCAGCATGTTATTTTGTAATGGTCTCTTGCCTGGTTTCTGTTATGCTTTCCCTTTCTTGTCACCCGCACAGCCTCACGGAACCGTCTCCCTGAGTGCTCTCCTGGGTAAACTCTTTATACAGCCTTTCGTTTGTTAGAAGAGCCTGCACATACAAGGTATCATGAATGCGAATGTGGCCTCAAGAGATGTTTAGATCATGTTGCCGCCATGGGCGTGCTTGTTTGTTTGTGGAAGCCAGAAACAGCAAGTCTGAAGGAGGGGTGATGCGGATGCATGGTGAGGAAGGAAATGAGGAGGAGGAGGAGGAGGAGGAGGAGGAGGAGCAGCAGGAGGAGGAGGAGGAGGAGGAGGAGAACGTGGAGCAGGCAGGCAGGAGAAGGAGGAGGAGGAAGAGGTGTATGAGGAGGTGCAGGAAGTGAACGCCCGCGCGGGCGCAAAAGGCAGCAAGGCAGGGACAAACATGTTAACAGCCGCGTCCGCGACAGGGCCCTTGGCGTCCGCAGCGTCGGCGCCAGAGGTGCAGGAAGGAGCACGAGGGGGACCGAGGCACGAGGCGCGGGGACGGAGGGGGGCGAGGCAGGGAGGAGCACGGGGCACCGACGAGCACCGCCCGAGCGCGAGGAGGAGGAGGAGGAGGAGGAGGAGGAGGAGGAGGAGGAGGAGGAGGAGGAGGAGGAAGGAGCGCTGGACGCCGCGGAGCAAAAAAAGGGCAGGAGGACGGAGGGAGGGAGGGGCGTCAGAGGACGGTGGGTGTCGAGAAGAGCTGGGGCTGGCCGCTCACGCGGCTGCAGCGGGCACGCTGGCCCTGGGTCGGGAGGAGCTGCGAGACGCCTCCGTGGAGGGCCGCGGAGGAGGAAACGCGCCAGGGGAGGCCGCAGAAGTCGGGTCTCCTCCTCCTCCTTATCCACCTCCTCTTCTTCCTCCTCCTTATTATTTTCCTCCTCCTCTTCTTCCTCCTCCTTATCCTCCTTATCCTCCTCCTCCTCCTCCTCCTCCTCCTCCTCCTCCTCCTCCTCCTCCTCCTTCCGGGAGCCCAGATCTGCAGGCGTCTCCAGGTGCCGATTCAAACCACTTACTGCGGTCCACGGTGAGCGGCCAATGATGGGGAACAACGGTGGGCCACCGAATGCGGGGGCCCCTCTGCTTCCCTGGGCGCGTGAAGAAGTGTACACATCCCGTGCAGACATGGCGCTTCAGGAGAAAATATGGCCAGGACGTGGGAGGAGTGGGAGCGCGGCGGATCCCGAAGGCGGGGGCGTGCATGACTGTATTTCTCACTTGCTCGTAGCTAGACGGCAGACTGCCGTGACTGACCGGTGCTGAATTGCTGGCGCTGCCTGTCCGAAATGTCCTCGGCTCTTTTTTGGAGCTTGCCACGCGCCTGCTGCTCTTTGCTAGATGCGACGGCGACTGTGGGTAGACGGGAGAGGGAGCGGGTGGACGGTCGGGCAGAGGGAGAATCAGTGTGCCACAGCCTTGAAGTATCTGGCAGCGCAGGCACCGCATAGTGTTTCTACCTCTGCAGCATGCATCCAAGTCGTCCTGAATTCTTTACGCTTCGCGTATCCCCACCAGCCCATCTCACAGCAGCAACTCTTGCGAAGCATGCCGGCAGTCGTGTTTTTCAGGCGTGTGTCCGCTTGGCCCCGCATATCTCCCTTGTTCCTCCTTCCTCCCGCCTCCTTGTACATCCTCCTTGTGGGGGGAGCGGGAGAAGGACGAGGCGGAGGAGGAGGGAGAGAAAGCGCTCCTCGTGATTTGAGTCGTTTGGGGTTTCTCGTCCTGGTGTGAGTCGTTCGGGCCCTTCTTCCTGGTGTGAGTCGTTCGGGCTCTTCGTGGTGTGAGTCGTTCGGGCTCTTCGTCCTGGTGTGAGTCGTTCGGGCTTCTCGTGGTGTGAGTTGTTCGGGCCCCTCATCCTGGTGTGAGTCGTTCGGGCCCCTCCTCCTGGTGTGACTCGTTCGGGCTCCTCGTGGTGTGAGTCGTTCGGGGCCCGCGTCGTGGTGTGAGTCGTTCGGGCTCCTCGTGGTGTGAGTCGTTCGGGCGCCTCGTCCTGGTGTGAGTCGTTCGGGCCCCTCCTTGTGGTGTGAGTCGTTCGGGCTCTTCGTGGTGTGAGTCGTTCGGGCCCCTCGTCCTGGTGTGAGTCGTTCGGGCTCCTCGTGGGGCCTCTTGGGGGCCTCTTGGAGCCTCTTGGGGCTCTTGGGGGCCTCTTGGGGGCCTCTTCGGGGCCTCTTGGGGGCCTCGTGGGGCCTCTGGGGGCCTCTCGGGGGCCTCTTGGGGGCCTCTTGGGGGCCTCTTGGGGCCTCTTGGGGGCCTCTTGGGGGCCTCTTGGAGGCCTCTTGGGAGGCTCCTGGGGGCCTCTTGGGGCCATCTTGGGGCCTCTTGCGACCTCCTCTGAAACGCAAATGAGCGCTGCCCCCTGAGAAGGACAAAATGAGGCCAAAACCTTCGTCAAATCAATGATTGTGCTATGAAGGCAGAGGAGCGCGGCCCCCTCAGGAGGCCAAAATGGGGCCACAACCGTAGTAAAATCAATGATTTTGGCTTCAAAGAAGAGGAGAGGGGCCTATCTCCGTCCCCCCGTCGGGGCCAGAATCCTCGTGAGGGTCGTCGTTTTTTAGCCCTCCCAGGAGTCGGAAAAGACCCCTCCAACGACCCGCGAAACCCCCTCTCCAGGCCCAGGGGGAGGGGGTAGGGGGAGGGGTAAACCCCTCCCCGAAGGGGAAGAAGGGGGGTTGAGAACAGAGCGAGCTCTCTAAACCACTCACGCCCAAAGGGCTGGTGTGACTTCTACCAGGCGCAAGAGTTGCAACGTCTCGCCATCATCCAATATACGCATCCTCGGCTGCTGTGGAGGAGGCCACGCTTCAGATGGACGACGCTGCGAAGGCCGCCTCCTGCCAGTGAGAGGGATTGAGCACGGAGTCGGGGGAAGGATGTGGTCGACGGTGCCGACTTTCCCGTCCCTATCGTTTTTTTGTTAATGGTCTCGGATGGGTCCTGGAAGGGGAGGAAAAGCACGAGGGGGGGAGAGGAGCAGGCTGGATGATGTGGCCGGGGTATTTGCAGCTGGGAAGAGGTTGGCGGAGGAGGAGGGGATACTGATGCTGCCGCTGCTGCTTGGTGGTGGTGGTGAAAATGATGGTGATAATGATAATGACGACGATGATAGTGATGCTGCTGATGCCAATGATGATCAAGATCGTGATGATGATGACGACGATGGAGACGACGATGATGATGCTGATGATGATGATGATGATGATGATGATGATGATGATGAGGAGGAGGAGGAGGAGGAGGAGGAGGAGGAGGAGGAAGAGGATGATGAGGCGGAGGAGACGGAGGGGGAAAGGGAGGATGATGTTGCCGCAGAAAAGGGGGAGGGGTGGATGATATAGTGTCGGAGGATCTTTGAATAGATGGAGCACGAAAGGGAGGGGACAGAAGAAGGATGATAAGGTGATCGGTTCACCATAGCTAGGTTCGTTCAGCCTGACAGGGAGGATGATGATGAAATGATGAGAAACAAAGAGGGGAAGGAGGAGAGGAGTGGATGATCAAGTGGAGGATTCTGGAGGCGGTACATTGACAATGAGGCCGGAGGTGGAGGAGGAGGAGGAGGAGGGCGAGGTAAAAGAAGTGGGAGGAGGATCATTGAGTTCTGAGTGTGTTTCCAGAGTGGCCATCGTTCCATACAACAGCCTGCGCAGTTGAGGTGGAGGGTGAGGATGAGGACGCCTTCGGTATTCTCCTGTTCCAGTCCTTTGCTCGAAGGTGTTCTGAACTCTCAGTGGTTTATGTCACCGAGCTGCCTTGGGGAGTACCCTCACGAAATTTCAGAAACGAGTTGTGACAAAAGATTGCCCCCCTGCCCCGTCCGCGAACGCGTCTCTTGCACCGTGACGCTCCGATCATGTCGTCCCGAGCCGAAGGCGAAGGACGGGGCCGCCGGACGCACTCGGCATTCGCAGCCCTGGCGAGCTGACAGAACGCTGAGAAAGCTGGATGCTCCCAGCGGTTCCCCTGCACACAGTCAAGGCGGTGAGAGTCGACCATTCTGGGTGTCAAGAGGGGCTCCTGGTCTGGGGCCGATCCTCGGACCCAGGTCGGGGAATCCGCCCACGTGGATAGCCGCCTGCCGCTGTCCGCGCCGCCACGCGGGTCCCCGGCAGGATGTGCTGCCCGGCGGAGGGGGAGGGGGAGGCGAGAGGCAGGCAGACCAGGACGATTGCGCAGGCGGGAGGCCAGGGCCGGCGGAGCGGGCCGGCGGGCGCAAGGGGTGCCGGGCGGAGAGAGCCGGCAGGGAGCTCCATTTCCTCCTCCTCCTCCTCCTCCTCCTCCGCCTTCTCCTCCTCCTCCTCCTTCTCCTCCTCCTCCTTCTTCCTCTCCTCCTCCGCCTTCTCCCCCTCCTCCTCCTCATCCTCATCCTCCTCCTCCTTCGCCTCCTCCTCCTCCTCCTCCTCCTCCTCCTCCTCCGACGACGACGACGACGACGACGACGACGACGACGACGACGACGACGACTCCAAGAGGAAGGGGGAGGAAGGCAAGGGAGGGGAGGGGGGGGAGGGCCACCGTGAGCAGACCGAGAGGCCGAGGCTCGCAGTGGCCCAGAGCAGAGGGCGTTTCCTGCCAAGGTGGGGCGCGGCGTGCCTAAGGGCAGCGTCGGGGCGGGCAGGTCCTCCAGCAGTTAAGTGGGCAGATCCTCCCTCTGCAGGGGGAGCATTCAAGGACAGTCACAAAATAATTTGGGGACGACTTCCCTATGATTCTTGTTTTTTTTGAATCTGTTCGGCGATATCTCATTTGTCCGCCAAAGTCCGCCTGTAGGGGGACATGCCCGACCTAGTCCTACGGGCGGATCCTCGAAGAGGAATAGGAAGTAGTCGAAAAGTACCCGAGACTAGTCAAACACCAGTCGAGGAGTCGTCCCCAGACTATTCTTCATACAAAAAGCTGTGTGTTGAAGATTCCTCCTGGGGAGGGACGTGCCCGACTTATAGTGGCAGCGCGATGGCCCCCCCCCCCGGTGGTCCCTGGCGCAGACGCGGAGGCGGCACGCCGCGGCGGCAACGACCGCACGCCGTTCGGAGGCCCGAAGGGCGCTGTGGAGGTCGCGGAGGCTCGGAGAAGCCAAAGGTGCCCATACCTCTGTACGGTAGGTTCGTGTCGTGTCGACCGGCGGCGACCCCGCCAGAGGCGTTCAACTTTGAACGCCGCGGGCGACCCAGAATCGCTCGATGTGGAAAGATTTGGACGTTTCGAATACGGCCGATCGTTCAAGGTTGAACGATCCCCGCGGTGTCAAAAACCAGCGCCGAAGTCGGCACGACACGAACCTGACGTACCCCTCTCTCGTTTTCCTTTTTTGGGGGCCTCCTGGAAAGTCCTCGTCGTTTTCCCTCTTTTTGGGGGCCTCCTGGAAAGTCCTCGTCGCCACCGCTGGCTTCGCCTCGAGGTCCTGGTCAGAGCGCACCGGCCGGGAGAGGTCCAGAGAGTCGCGGTAGTATCAGTACTTGTTGGTTTCCCCAGAGACGCGGCGCCCGTCGAGAGCCCGCCCACCACGCCTATCAGGGGGGGACACAAAACACACAGACACAATGAATCGCCGACTCCCAGGAAGAAATGTGGGAAGATATGGGGTGGGGGGGGTGGAAGAGGCAGAAGCCCAGGGCCATGTGAGGAAAGAGGAGGAATGCTGCTGCGTGTGTGCATTTTTTTTTTTGTGTGTGTGTGTGTGTCCTTGGGCCTCTTCATGGAGAAAGATGGGGAATCCTGCTACGTGTGAGCATTTCTTTGTGTGTGTGTGTCCTTGGGCCCCTTCAGTCCGGCACGGGCCCCCCGCCGCCGGCAAGCCCTCCCGAGAGTGCCGCCTCCCCGGGGGCACACGCGGAGCCCCAGGCCTCCCCCCCCGCGCGCGCGGCCGCGGGAGCCGCCGGGCTCCCCACGGCCCGACGCTCTCGGGGCGGGTGGGCTCGGAGGGAGTGCGGGCGAAGGGAGCTGTGCTCAGCCACGCGCACAAGGGGGGATAGGGAGGAGGGGGAGGGCTTCTTAGAAGAAGCACCCCTGCTTCTTGGAAGGCGCGGGCCTTCCCTGTAGATGTGAGGCCGGCGCCTTCTAAGAAGCGGCCTCCTTCTAAGAAGCCCTCCCCCTCCCCCCACCCCCGTGTGCGCGCCGCCAATATGCACATGCGCCGATCCTGGCAAGGCCCATGCTCAACCCAGGATCGGTGCACATACCTTCCCATAGCCAAGGTGGGAGGGCGTCTGCCCCGATCCTGGGCTCAGGAGGGGCCTGGCCAGAATCGGTGGATGTGCATATAGTTCTCTGTCCTCTAGGAGTGGCAGGTGGCTGGGTCGGCAGACATGGACTAAGCGAACCGCGTGTTTTTGAAGCCGGGTCTGGCGTTCAAACCAACCGCGTGTTTGGGAAGAAGCTGGACCCGGCTCAAAAGCCTGCGGGGTTTGGAAGCCGGCTCCGGCCTCGAAGACGCGCAGACCCCCCAGTGGGATTGGAGGGATTGGCGGGCGGCTGCGTTGGCAGACGCGGACGAGGGCGCGTGGACTATCACCACCCACCAAACCATCCCAACCCAACCCGAAGGCTCAGATTTACCCTCGATTTCCAGTGGGGGGGGGCGGGAAACATAGAAAAAATACAGGTGGAACCCTTACCCCCCCAACCCGAAATTCGGGTCTTCAGGTTGGGTTGGGGTGGTCTGGTAGGTAGTCAGACCAGCGACGGGCGTCGCTTCCGTGCGACAGCGGGGCGCGCCGTCTCCGAGTCGGGCGGCACCGGCCTCACGCTTCGGGGGGAGGCACCTTCCCCGATTGTTTGGGGGGTCTGGCGCCCGCGCGCCAGGTCCAGGGGCCCGTCAGCGTGTGCCTGCCGCCTGGCGCTCTCCCTCGAGACCGGCCGCGTGAGGCGATTCTCGGGCCGGACGGAAGGGGGGGATTCGGAAAGGGGGGGTTACGAATTTTGCTGCATGCAGCTGGTTTCGGCCCCACCGAGGGGCCCATTCCTCGATACATTGGCGCCTCCCGGCGCCGGGAGGCGCCGGGAAAATCAGCTGCGTGAGCTGATTCTCAACCCCCCCCTTTGCTATCCCCCCCTTTCGCCCGACCCGAGATTCGCGGATCCCTTTCTTGTCATGCCGCCGACATCGCAGAGCGGATTTCGCTCATAAAGCAAGAAGATGGGCCCGGAGCGTCCTGCAGAATTTCGTTCCGGATTTCAAAGTGACTTCCGTGCAGCTTTGGCAAAGGAGTGAAGACTAACAGACATCCACGTGAATTTCACTTCGTTTTTCGAACGCCGATTCGGGGTTTTGCATTGACAGAAATCCATGCGCAAATCCACTAGACCACGTCTGCAAGGTCGGTGCAGTGACCCATCCCCCCCTCCCAGACATTGCGTTGCATCTTCGGGGGACCTCGCCTTTCTCCCCAATTGGTGTCTTTTCTTTTGCCTGATGTGGGCTCGATGCGGACTCAACGCGGACGTTGCGTGGATCCGACGCGGATTCGACACGTATTTGACACGGATCCGACGAGTCCGACATCGAATTGACACGGATACGGCCGCGACGGGACAGGCAAAGTCCCCCGAGGATGCAACATGACAGACTTCCGAAGACATGGTTTTTCTGGTGCGCGTACCAAGAGGCCCCGACCGCTTCTTTGGGCGTGGTCTTCCATATTCGAGCCACGGTCGAACATTTTTGCTTAGCGTTAAGGCGGGCCTGTCTCACTACAAGAGGAATATTCAGACATAGGCAAACAATAGTCTTGGGTCGACTTTTAAACTACCTTTGATTATTGCTGTACTTCGTTTTTCGACTATTCTTCAACTTTCGCCCCAAATCCGTCTGTAGGAGGGCATGCCCGACCTGAGCTTAGCGTATCGCTCCGCCGGCTCTGGCCCACCGCGCTTCGGCGTGACACGCCATCTTTGTCGCGGTCCCCGATCGCCAACGTCCCCGAGCTTTTCCCAGCCTCCCGCCCCGCGGAGCCGAGCGACACGCCATGTGGCCGCATGGCATTCGCGTGTCACCAGGGCTACCTCCGCGACGCGCTATGCAGAATGTCCTGATCGTATGTCTTCCGATCCTACGCGGCCTGGCGTGGCAGGCCTCCAGGGGCCGAAGCCGAGGGGCAACCCCAGAACTGGAGACGACTCGTCGTCGGAGTCCAGGCCCTCGTCCGACCCAGCGAGAGGAGGGCGGAGGAGGAGGAGGAGGAGGAGGAGAAAGAGGAGGAGGAGGAGGAGGAGGAGGAGGAGGAGGAGGAGAAAGAGGAGGAAGAGGAGGAAGCAGGAGGAGGAGGAGAGGAGGAGGAGGAGGAGGAGGAGGAGGAGAGGGGTGAGGAGGAGGAGGAGGAGGAGGAGGAGGAGGAGGGAGGAGGAGGAGGAGGAGGAGGAGGAGGAGGAGGAGGAGGAGGAGGAGGAGGAGGAAGGAGGAGGAAGGAGGAGGAAGGAGGAGGAAGGAGGAGAAGGAGGAGGAAGGAGGAGAAGGAGGCTTCCGCTGCGCGCGGCGCAGCGGACGCGGCGGCGCTCTGGCGTGGGGCGCAGGCTTGGCACTGTGCTGGACTTCCCGCCATGCCCCGCAGGCCACGCAGGGGCGCGCTCTTGGCCCGAAACGTGGGGGTGGGGGGGGGGACGCTAGCCGCTACGCGGAGTCTGCCTGCCCGAAACATACCCCCGCTCTTGCGTGCGATCTGGCATCGTCACCCCCTCTCGACGCCGATCGCCAGGGCTCCCCCACTCCGCTTCGGAGTGCACGCCCCCGAGAGTGTCGTCGCACCGGGCCCGCCAAGCCCTCGGGGGCAGGGGGCGCGCTCGAGGCTCGGCGGGGGCGGCGCCGAGTCGGCGCACGCCGCGCGCGGGGTGCGGGGTCGGCAGGCGGCCGTGGCCGGGTTCACCGGGAAGGAGGCCGCCCGCGCGCCCCTGCGCCGCCCCTGGTGGGGGGGGGGGGGGCTTCCCCGCTCCCTCGCGCCCTCCCGCCTTCCCCTCCCCCCGCGCCCCCCTTCTTCCTGCGCCTCCTCCCGCATCCACCGCCGCCTTCATCCCCATTCTCGCTTCCTCGTCGTCCTCCTCCTCCTCTCGCCTCCTCCATGTTTCTCTGGCTCTTCCTGACCGCTCTTCACCAGCCTTTCCGCCCTCTTGTTCATGTGTTCTCGTCTGCCTCGTCCCTCCTCGTCCTCCTCGCCCTCCAACTTCTCCAAAATCACCTCCTCATCCCTGCTCTCTTCTCGCCGAAATCCCCCGTCCCTTCTCTCTCCTCGGTTTCTTTCCTCCCTCATCCTTGTCATTACCCTCATCGTCATTATTCCTCCCCCTGCAGCCATCCCTTCCTGCCTTTGCTTGGTATCTGCTGTTCCCCTCTCCTCTCCTCTCCCTCTCTCTGCCCGTCCTCCTGCAGCCTCGGGATTCCCCTCTCCCGTGCCAGTAGCAGCAGAAGGTGGAGGCAGGATTGAAGGAGGAAGAGCACGCGTGTGAGGCAGGAGGAAATGACGAGGCAGATGGAGGAGTCAGGCGAATGAGGCTAGAGCAGGGAGAGGAAGGCGGAGGAAGAGAATGTGGAGAAGGAGGAATGGGCGGAAGAGGACGACGAGGAGGAGCATTCTCAAGGTGGCGGAGCGCACGGAATTACTTTGCGGACGAGCGGCGCTGGAGGCAGGAGGAGGAGGAGGAGGAGGAGGGAAGACGGAAGAGAAAGGGGATCATGAGTATAGTTGGGGAGGAAAAGGACAGAGCAGGGAGACGAGGAGTGGGGCCAGGGGAGAGTGAAGGAGGAGGAGGAGGAGGAAGAGGAGGAGATTTTCGTGTGATTCACTAGCAAGGGCGAGGAGGAGGACATTTTCTTGGGGCAGCACGCACTCTCCCCTCCTCGTGGCATCTCTTGCCTTTTACTTCTCGTCCCACGGCAGGCGGCTCAGCAGAGGCCCTTCCCGAGGATTGCGTAACTGGGCCGAGCAGCTGCGAAGCGTGCATGTCTTGTGACAGTCGGCAGCGGTCCTTTCCTCCCTGCTTTCGCCTCCTGTTCGTCCCCGATCCTCCTCCACCTCCACCGCGTCCTCTATCCTCGACTCGCCCATCCTCACCTTATGCCCGGCCTTCCTCCTCCTCCTTCCCCTCCTGGTCCTCTTGGTCGTCCTTCCGTCCTCCGCCGTTCGCGGTTCCGCCGCATTGCCCGGTCATGCGACGCCGTGGTTTTCCCACGGCGTGGCCCGCGGACCTCTGGACAGTTTCTTTGGGGGCAGTTTTGTATCCAAGACTTTTTGGCGATCTATTCTTTTCCAAACAGCTTGCTGACCAGGGTGTTGTTGTGATAGATGCGAACTCTGGCCGAGAGAAAGGGGGCAGAGACATCCTCAACAAATCTGGTGGTCTGGGCCGTTTCGCCTGGGATATCTTCGCAACACTTGTCTCTGAGTTGTCCAGGATTGGCCGATTCGCTTCAGATATCCTCGAACATCTAGGCTCCGAGCTGCCGCGCCAGAGGTGGTCCAGGCCGTTTCGCCTGAGACATCCTCGGAACTCTAAGCCCCGAGATGCCGTGCGAGAGGTGGTGTGGGCCGTTTCGCTTGAGACATCCACGAACATCTAAGCTCCAGGACGCCGCGCGCGAGGTGGTCTGGCGGATTCGCATAAGACATCCTCACATCTCTGGCCTCCGAGATGCCGCACGCGAGGTGGTCTGGCCCGTTTCGCTTGAGACATCCTCACACTTCTGCGTTCCGAGATGCCGCGCGAGGTGGTCTGAGGTGTCTCGCCTGAGACATCCTCGGAACCCCTGCAACTTTGAACTCCGAGAAGATGTGCGCAAGGGTGTGTGTGGCCTGTCTCGCCTGAGGTATCCTTGCCACTCGGGGCCCTGGGATGCTGCGGGCGAGGCGATCTGGTCCGTTTCGCCGAAAAGACATCCTCCAAACGTTGGCTCCGAGAGGGAGGATAATGGAAGGAGGAGGGAGGAGGAGGAGGAGGAGGAGGAGGAGGAGGAGGAGGAGGAGGAGGGGAATGGAGGGAGTACGTGTCAGACCCAAACAAACCATTTGATTCCACTTCTGTTGTCCACTTGTGCCCTGGGAGGGTCTGGGCGCCGCCTCTGAGCTCCAAGATGTCGCACGCGAGGTGGTCCAGCACGTCTCGCCTGAGACATCCTCGTATCTCGGGGCTCCCATCCTCGAAGCTTTGGGCTCCGAGTGGTCTGGCCCGTCTCGCCTGGGACACCCTCGACACTCTGGGCTCCCCTGAAGCTGTGCGCGGGGTGATCCAGCTCGTTCCGTTCGATGCATCATCGCAACGCCGGGCTCTCAGAAGATGTGTGCGAGGTGGTCTGGCGCGTTTCGCTCGATACGTCATCGCACCTGGGCTCCGAGATGCCGCGCCAGAGGTGGTCTAGCCCGTTTTGCTTGCTACGTCCTCGATCCTCTGGGCTCCGACAGAGGGAGGAAGAGGGGAGCGAGGAGGGGTCATACCCGAACGAACCATCTGATTCCACGTCTGTTGTCGGATTGGATTCTGGGATAGGTCTGGGCGCCCCTGGCCCCTATGGAGGAGGGTATAGCTGGCGCCGAGGCGTCAGCACGATCCCCTGGTACATTGCAAGAGGGCTGGTCTGGGGGGAGCCCTGATGGAGCCAATCGTGGCGGTGCCTCGGCGAACGCGCGGCGGGCAGGGGGGGTGCAGGGTGGGGGAGGGGGCAGGAAAGGGGTAACGAGCTCCGAGGTGCTGCGCGAGAGGGGTAATGGGGGATGGAGACGGGACCAGGCTGAAATGCTACTTGTTTGATGGCATCCCTGACGAGGGTGCTCCCTGGAAGCGACATCGAGTGTGCGAAGGCATCCCTTGCATGGTGTAGGGGAGCGGAGAAAACAAGGGAAGAGGAGACGGATCAGGAGCAGCAGGATGTGCAGGAGGAGGAGGAGGAGGAGGAGGAGGAGGAGGAGGAGGAGGAGATAGAGGAGGAGGAGTGGAGGAGGACGAGGCGGACGAGGAGGACGAGGAGGAGAAGAAGAAGAAGGGAAATGGAGGGGGAGGAATGGGAGGAGCAGAGCAGCAGCGGGAGGAGGGAGGAGGAGGAGGAGGAGGAGGAGGAGGAGGAGGAGGGAGGAGCAGGAGAAGGGAGGAGGGGAAGGAGGACCAGGAGGATCAGGAGAGGGAGGAGGTGGAGGCGGAGGAGTAGGAGGATGAGGAGAAGGAGAAGGAGAAGAAGGAGGAGGAGGAGGAGGAGGGGGAGGAGGAGGGGGAGGAGGAGCAGGGGGAGGAGGGAGGAATAGAGAATAGGGGTCAGGACGAGGAGGAGGTGGCAGGAGGGGAAGGAGGAGGAGGATGAGGGGGACGAGGAGGAGCAGGAGGTTTAGCGGAAGCGGGGTGGCGTGGGCGAGAGGGAGAGTTACGTGGATGCGGGGGAGGAAGAGGAGGACGACGACGACGACCACGAACAGCTAGACGACGATGCCGAATGCGCAGGCGGATCAGACGCAGGAGAAGGCAGAAACACTCTTAGGAACCACCTCGGTCGAGAAACGCGATGCTCGTGGACTCTGGCTGTAATGCCTTGCTACCCCCTCGAATACCCGCACCCGGGGCCCGCTGGCGGGCTCCAGGACCACCAACGCCTGAGCCAGGGCGGCGCACAGCTGCCCCTGGAAAAAAAGCGCGAGATCTGGGGTCGCGGTCTTGAGGCCCAGGAGGGAGGAGAGGGAGGAGAGGATTTGGGGGTCGCGGTCTTGGGGCCCAGGAGAGAGGAGAGGGAGGAGATGATTTGGGGCCGCGGTCTTGGGGCCCAGGAGAGGTCGGAGGGCGCCCCTGGGGCCCAGGAGAGGGGACCGGCGAGGCCTCGGTCTGCACGCGCCCGCCCTATTGGGCATCCGCCGCGACGCTGGGCGCGTGCTGGGGCTGCGGCATGCGAAAGAGGAGGAGGAGGAGGAGGAGGAGGAGGAGGAGGAGGAGGAGGAGGAGGAGGAGTACGAGGAGGAGGAGGAGGAGGAGGAGGGAGGAGGAGGAGGAGGAGGAGGAGGAAGAGGAGGAGGATAAGGAAGAGGCAGAAGAAGAAGAAGACGAGAAGGAGGTGGAGAAGGAGGAGGAGGAGGAGGAGGAATATCAATACGAAGAAGAATAATAATAATAAGAGGAGGAGGAGGAGGAGGAGGAGGAGGAGGAGGAGGAGGAGGAGGAGGAGAGCCCCCCCCCCCCCCAGACGTACGAATTCGGCGACATCAGTCGGGAGGTCGACAGGCGGGCCAAGGAGCCATGCCTCCCTAGCCCTCCCGCCCCCCCTCTCTCTCCGGCAGGCAGCGCCACGGTCGACGGGTCGCCCATGGCCAGCCTGGCCCGAGCCGAGTCGAGATCAGCTCTCCAACGATCTGCAAGAGCCGCCACGAGGGCGCGAAATGATTCGTGGGTCGCCGTTCGTGATTCCTCATCCTCCTCGCCTGCGTACCTCGTGGGCTGCCGTTCGTGAATTATGCGTGGGTCGCATTTTTCGTGATTCCTCAGCCTCCTCGCCTGCGTACCTCTTCTCTCGCCGTGACGGAAAGCGGGTCCCGAGGGCAAAGGGCCCTCAGGTTTTATCGTCGTGGTCGGGCCCTCTTGGCCCTCCACTGGCCACGGGACTGTCAGAGTTCGACTCGGGATGAATCAGGAGGGAAAAAAACACACAGACACAATTAATCGTCGATTCCCCAGAAAATATTGGAAAATATGAGAAGTGGTGGGGAAGACAAAAACCCAGAACATATGGGAAACTATGGGGAATCCTTTTATTTGTGTGTATTTATTTGTGTGTCCCAGGGCCCCTTCAATGAAGGGCTCGTCCTGGGCGAAGGCCTCGGGGTCCAGGACCCGTTTACCACAGGGCCCGTTTCCCCCTATGCTAGGTCTCATCTGCTGGTCGGTGCGAGAGCGCGAAGTTCTCCGCGCGTTTCGCGGTGCGAAGCGCGAACACATTTGCCCTTGGAGATGTGACTTATTCGACGAGGGCGCTTTTCCCTGATCCCGTCCTCCTTCGGATTCCTTCGGATTCGGAGGTGTGCACCCAGCAAGCAGGGCGATGCAACGTGAACACCGTAGAGAGAAAAAGAGAGGCTTCGGATCGGGATGCACCTCTTCATCAGCGAATTCAAGAATGCTCTCAGAGCGTCCGAGCTTTCGGGATCGCTCCGGAGTGCCCACAGCGCCTGCGCAGTACATCCTCCAGAGCCGTCAGAACTCAGAGATCCCCGGCTTGTTCCGATCCGACCTTGTCCCGATCTTGTTTCTGTTTGATGTCGTTCCTCCTCCCGCCCCTCCCTTGCCGCCCCTGGCGTGCGGAGCGTGTGCGGATGCGCACGGCCTTCACGCGCAGCGCGTCGGAAGCCCCAGCGACTGCAGGGGGTGCAAGCTGGCCGGGGCCCCAGGTTTGCCAGGCGTGGTTCGATCTTGATCGACAGCCGACTTTTTTCTTCTTCATGTCGGGGACGGTCCAGAGGGGGGTGATGACTAGGGAGGGTTGGATATCATGGCGTGGGCCAGGACAACTCCTCAGATTTAATGGCGCCTCTTCTTATTTCATTAAATCCCTGGCCCCACCCCTGGGCCGCACACATGCCGCTGGCCATGATTTGCGCCCCCCCCCCCCCCTCTTGGCCGACCCCGATTCAGTTCGGTCTCCGGGGGCGGTCGTGGCGGGCCCCGCCGCACAGCACGTACCTTTCGACTCGACTGACAACCCGCACATGGGCGCGCGATTGCACTCTAACGCCTCTCTTGTTCGCCACGACGGCTTTGCCTCGACGATCCTTTGGACTTGGCAAGTGGCACGTGCCACGCCCATGACCACCTGAGAATGCGTCACTGGTTTTGAAATCGCGCCAACGGGAGACAGAGGAGGAGAAGCGAGGCATTCGAATATCATTAGTGGGGCAAAAAGCCATCAGCAAGTCATCCGTGGGCCACTAATGATGCATTAGTGGGTCGAACCTATGTGTGGGCACTCAATGGGTCAAATTCATTAGTGAGCCATTCGTGGGGCCAGTTGTGGGGCGATCAGCGGGCCATCAGCTGGGGATCATACCGATCCAGTAGCTGGGCATTCGTGCGCCATTCGTGGGGTGCGAAAAAAGTCGGGCATGCCATTTGCAGATTTGAGGGGGCGAAGTACACACCCATGCTCCAGGACATGTGCTTCCCGGTGCTGCTCTGGGGGGATCCCTTCCCTTGCCGGGCCACGTTGCCACCAGACTTGGGCCCGTGGCGCAACGCTTCCCCCCCCCGAGAAGGGAAAGGGAGCTCTGCGGGGCCGCGGGTTGGAATTATCAGTTTGAAACGCATCCCTATCCCTAAGTTTGGCATCACCTTACCTCGGTGCCGATCTTCAGGATTACCAAGGATTCTGAGGGCACATCCCTAATCTTGTCATCGCCTTTGGTTTGCCGATCTTAAGGATAGGGATAAGTTCGAGGCTTGTTATAGAAGCAGGAGCACTCCACACAGCTCACAAGCGGGGTGCCACCATGGAGGCAAAGCGGACCACGGTGGGCCATCGATTTCGGGAGCCTGGGCTGCCTCACCGTGCTTTCTAGGAGAAGCGCTCTGACCCCTTGCATACGAGCTGTTTGGAGAATCGTATCGGAGAGGACGTCTTGGCAAGTCGAGCCCAACGAGGCCGAATTCCGGGAGGCCGAGCTCGAACAGGTCCGGGTCTGCAGCAACGAGGCAGGCGGGTCTTGGTGGGAACGGGTCATGGGGTTGTTCCCAACCTTCCCTTGGTTGGGCTCTCGGTTTGAATAAAGCAGTGGGGTTGCCGGCTCCCTTCTCCTTCTTCTCTTGCCCCCCCCCGCTCTCTTCTCGGCTCTCTCCTCTCGCATCCCTCTTGGGGGCTGTGAAGTGTAAATTGTCACCACTTTCGAGGGCTGCTGGGGGGGCCAGTGCAGTGGGCTCCCAAGCAAACCCAAACGGGACCTCGCCATCTTGGGCCGGTGCCTCCGGGGAGCAGGGATCGCAAGCGCCCGCGGGAGGGGAAGCTGAGAGGTGCGAGCGTCGTCGGGACCCGGGGGAAGGACATCTGAGAAAGGCGCGCGCCAGCATGGGCGAAGCGGTGTGCCGCATGACGGCTAGTGTTGAGCCGGGCATGCCCCTCTACAGGAGGAGTATTCTGGTAGATTCCAAAATCGTCAGGGGACGATGTTTTAGTATTCTATTGGGTTGTTTTACGTTTTCTATGTTTTACTATTTCAGGTGTTTCGTCAAAATCCGCCCGTAGGGGGGCATGCCCGACCTGAGGATAGTGGCCCTGCGCGCCTCGTGTTGAGGGTCTTCCTTTTCCGGCACGCTTCGGGGCTCCGTGCTCTGCTTTGTGGTCGAGCCGTCACTGCAGACCATTGGGCTCACGGGGCCCTACAGAGTCAGGACGCCGTGAACTCCTTCACGGGCAAGGACCGCTACGAGTTCGGTGACATCACCAAAGAGGACGCCCGCGTAGCACTCAGGGGTTGAACTGAAGAGGGCAGTGCACCAGAGGAAGGGGTGCAGAGGCCAGGAGGCAGTGGCGCACTGTGCCACGATCCAGTTCGTTGCTGACAGGTAGGTGAGAGCAGCTGCAGGAGTACGCTTTGCGTTTGCCTTGGTAGCGGCAGATCAAGTCGCTTGATGCCAAGCGTTCTACACTCGTGTGCTGTCGTGTCGAATCAGAGCCCGCAGCCCCTTTCGAAGCGCTTTCGGGTTTCGACTCACTACGCAGCGATCCTGCGAGAGCTCGTGATGTGTATTGGCCGATGGCTTGAGTGCGCCAGTCACGTGCAGCTGCTGGACAGTCTACCACCAATGTGGGGCATGACGATCACAGTGCAAGCTGTGGCCTCCATGCGCCCTCAAGCTAAGATTGGCTGCTGGGCGTTTTATGATGCCGGTTTGAGCACAGGCCCGCACGGACCTTGAGAGCGGGTTCGGATTCCGAACTGCATCTCGGCGGACGGATCGAGGGCCGGGCCAAGAGAAATGCTCTACGTCTCGGCAGCCTTCAGGAGAAATGCCAGCGCAGATTGGGGGTCTGGTCTGAACTTGCTGTTTCCAGCGGGCGGAGAGCAGGTGCACCCAGCGGCGGCGGTATGGGATGGTGGCCCAGGAACGAGCAGGAGAAGCAAGAGAAGAAGGTGGGAGAGGAATGCGTTGGTCCGCGGAGCGTCCACTCCGAAATGCGTGTGCGCTTGTCTGTCTGGCGCTCAGTGCCAGATCCACCGCTGAGGGCTTGCAGACGAGGGCCTCGAGGCGAACCCATCCGCGGCGACGAGGGCCCACATAAGGCGAAAAAGGTAAAGAGGTCGCACCTCCCTTCCGCCTCCTCCTCCTCCTCCTCCCCCCTCCTCTCGAGCGAGTGATTCCTGGCTCGTCCACTGGCGCCGCCACATGGCGCGTCGCCTGGCACGCCCCTTGACACGTCCCGTGTCGCGTCCCTGGCACGTCCGCGGCACGTCCGCTGAGACGTCCCCTGGCCCCCGACACGTTCCATGGCTCATCCCACGGCGCGCGCGTCCAGTCGCCCCTCTCGTTCCGTCCAGCTTCGGAACCGAGTCGGGTCTTCAGCTTGAGCTGGCTGAGCGCCTCGCACACCTCACGTGCAGCCAGCTCTGGGCGAGCCATGCCTCCAGGCAGCTCGAGCGAAATATGCAGATCAGCTCGGTCAGGATCGGAACGCAAAGGACGACACGATCCACAACGCACGAGAGCACATCACAGTTCCAGAACACTTCAGCACAGCAACGTCACAGCGTGGCGAATCAGCACAGCCCCTTTGCACCTATCGCCCAAGCTTTTCAATGCCATTGCCTCGGCTTTATATATATATGTATATATATGTATATATACATATGTATGTGCGTGTGCATACACATAGTTGCATCTATCTACTCGTGTAAATGGTATGCACTGTACGTGTACGCACGTCCGAATCTATACACATTGACATCCCACTCTGATTTCGTGTGTCAATCATGTTTCGTCCCAGACCGACGGCGACAGTGAGTCCCCGAAGAGGCCCCCTCGAGACAAAAAATGGCGAACCACCTCTGTGTTGACGTCGGAGGCTCGGGAAGGAGGAGGGCACCGATCGCTACAGGCACTCAAGCGCGGCGGCAGTGCCATCAAGGATTTCACCGGCAAGGACAAGTGCGCCCTCGCCGTGTGGGGGTGGGTCCTTCGAGGGTATTCTCTCTCTGTCTCTCTCTCTCTTTCTCTCTCGCTCTCTTTTCTCTCTCTCTCTCTCTCTTTCCTCTCTCTCTCTCTCTTCGACGCAGGACTGCGCCTTTTCAAAGTTGGCCTTCAGACAAATTCACCTCCATCAAGACCACCATGGACTTCTTACTCCAGCCTCTCGACATTTTTTTTTTCTCTCTCTCTCTCTCTCTCTTTCTCTCTATCGACGCTCCTCTTCCGCTTACTGCCTCTGTCTCGGCGACCAAAAGGGGGCCGAGACAGCAGGGCACATATGTGTGCACGCGCAGCGCTCACTAAGGCACTGCACCTGCGCGGCACCGTGCAGGGTCTGCTCTCGATCGGCGGTGGCCCGTCGATTGTTGCCTTGCATTTGCTGATCTAATGGCACGGTCGCGCGCCGCTCCCCAGCGCTCGCGATTGACAAATAGTTTCGTGCCTTGCGGGGTCCATGCGCTGGCCCATACAAAGTATGCATTACGTCGTGTGCGCATTATGCTTTGTCGCCGCCGATAAACATTCCCTCGCAGTGTGCATCAAGCTGCTTGGAGGCCCCAAGCTTCAGGACTTGTGATTGTTCTTGGCGCGCCCTGGTTTCAGGGGTGGCGGTGAGGAGGGCGGCGGCGACGATAGGGATAATGCCGCGGAGGAGCCGGAGCAGGTCAGGGGGGGGGGCGGGAGGGGAGACGGGCGAGCAGTAGGGGGACGAGCTTGAGGAGCAGGACGGGGCTGCACAGGGGACGGCAGGAGCAGTGGAAGAGGGGAGGGGCGGACGAGAATGGAGGACGAGGACGGCCGCCTCGGCGATGTCGCGGCCTGCAGGCAGCGGCCGCACGAGCGCGCGCGCGCGCGCGAGCCATCAGCGTCTCGGTCAAGAGACCGTCTTGGAACGGAGCGCGGTCCGCGCGCCTGCGCGCGAGGGCGCCAGCGCGAGCAGGCCTGGCCCGCGGGGGGCGGGGCGGGTGGGTGGGGGATTGCAGCCTTGCTGGCGCATCTTGGGTTTCTCATGGTCCTCCTCCTCCTCCTTCTCCTCCTCCTCCTCCTCCTCCCTCTCTCTCTCTCCTCTCTCCTCCTCCTCCTCCTCCTCCTCCTCCTCCTCCTCCTCCTCCTCCTCCTCCTCCTCCTCCCTCTCTCTCCTCTTCCTCCTCCTCCTCTCCTCCCCTCCTCCCTCCTCCTCCTCTCTCTCCTCCTCCTCCTCCTCCTCCTTCCTTCCTCCTCCTCCTCCTCCGCGTCCCACTCTGCCAGGAGGGTGGCTCGTGCCCTGCGTGGGGACCACGATCTCGCCCCGCTCGTCCAGCCGCAGGTCAGGGAAAGCTCTCTGGGATAGGTCTGGTTCGCACGGCGTCCCCAGGAGGTCAGGGAGCTCGCGAGAATAGTCTCCTTGTGGCCGTGGTGTCGCACAGAGGTGCCCCCACATCGAATCCCATGGAATCTCCCTCCTCTCCCCTCCTCCTCTCTCGATTTCCTCTCTCCACCTTCTCCCTCTCTACCTCCCCTCCCTCTCTCCACCTCTGCCCCCCTCTTCCCCGTATCTGTCAGTGACACACGGAGTTGATGCGTGGGTGTTTTATGCTGTGTGTTCGTTGTGTGTGTGTGCCGTTGGTGCGTATGGTAAGCGCATGTGTTCGACGCATGGTGCCGACGCGCGCGTGTGACAACACATCTTCCCGTTGCTTGTGTATCTGCATTGGTGCTAGGGGTTATTGCTCTACGCGTGTGCTCGTGATGCCGGCAGTGATGATCTGGTACTGGTGCCTGGTGGTGGGCCAGTTGTAGATGTGGGCGCACGGCGTGGCGCAACGGCACCGTGACGCTTGCCATGCGGTTCGTGGCGTCTGCGCTTAACGTCTGTCCTTGCGGTGTGCAGGTGGCGATTGTCACTGGTGCACGGTCTGGGTCCATGTTCACGAGGCAGACCCGCGGTGCCACGTGTCGGCGTATGCTCCGGGTCCGGTTGTGGGTCTGCGTCCTGAGTATTACTGGCGCATGTTATCAGTGCATGCGGCCGTAGTTATCACTGGCGCGTGTTTCGCTCTTGCGCCCTGTCGTGATGCATGTGATTGGCGTGTGCGGCCGTATTGTTTGCATACGATGTGCGTCACGCTGTTTGTTGGTGGTGCATATCATTGGTGCGTGTTATACGATGGTGGTCCAGAGATCGGCTCTAGATGTGGGTATACAGCGTGGTGCCGTGACATGGGACATGCCGGTCGTGATGCCTGTCTGTGGTTGTTTGCCGTTGGTGCGGCATGCAGGGCTCGTTGGGCGTGACGCTCGGGTCTCGCAGGTGCCCCGGGGCTTGGCGGCCGCAGGACGCGCTGCTCGATTGCCCTGACAGCCCTTGGCGAGCACTGCACGTGCTTCCACCAGGTGTCGACGCTTGGCGTCGACCTTGCGACCCATGGCGATCTAGGATCTCTGACCGAGCGTGCCACGATGCACACATGGGGAGAACGCACACTCCAGGACGGGTATGGAACACAGGGTGGACCTGTGAGTTTTGGCGCTCAGCACGGTGGCTTGATCCGCCCCTTCCGTACAGACGACCGGTTCTGTGGGGTAGCACGGGTCATCGACAGGCAGTCACAACAGTTGGAGGTTGGAAGTCGTTATCCTGAGCATGTTACGTCTCCCATGATGCCACACGGTAGCAGAGACAGGTGCCTGGATGGATCACCCTCATCCGGCGCATTGGCATCCACACGTGCCACATTGTGTCTGATGGGAGCTTCTGGAAGCCATCAGATTGAGCCCAGCATGGTATGCGCTACGGTGGATTCTGACCATTGCGTGCACCATGTATGGGAGGTCGCAAAACCAGTGGGAAGCGTACCCACTCGACCAGGACCCTTCAGCATATAGCAGCCGCTGTTGCAGAGTGCATTCGGGGCATTTTCGGGAAAACTATGTAGTGTAGATCAGTGTGACGACGTGGATCGTTCGCCCGTGGTGCAGGATCTGCGGGCCTCATACGTTAAGGACCGTGGCCAGGAATGCACCGTTGCCCCTGACGCTGTCCCGCGGAGCGGCATCACGAAGCACGCAGACCCAGAGATGCGCAGAGGAAGAGCCGCACCAGCCAGTGGACGTCTGCTCCGACCCCGGTTCCCGCCCCGGTCCCGACCCCAGAGCCTGCGGGCCTCCCTCCCGGTGGGCCCGAGTGGGCACGCCGAGGCAGAGGCTTCTTTGGGCCTCTCTCCCCCCCCCCCTGCGCCCTCCGCTCCGCCGCCCCCGCCCTCCCCGCCCGCCCTGTCTCCTGCAGCAGCTGGAGGGTCTAGCCTGTTGCTGCTGCCCAGGAGCAGCTGGAACTTCGGGCTGCCTTGGATCGGGGGCGGCAAAGAGGGCGGTGATGACTAAGGGGGGTGGGGTGGATTTCATGGCGTGAGCCATGATATTTTCCCAGATTTCATGGCGCCCCTTCTTATTTCATTACGTCCCTGGCCCCCCCTTGGGCGGCGCACGTGCCACCGGCCATGATTTGCCCCCCCCTCTTGGACACCCCCCTCGTGGCCGCCCCCGACTGGAGCAGCCAGAAAGTACGGCTGCTCGGAATGGGCTATCGGTTCTGGCCTGCAGCCGGGAGCTGCCGACCAGGGGGAGGCGGGGCCTCGATGGCAGGCCACGCGCGCCGCCGACCATCAGCGGCGAGCGCCGTTTCACGCCAGCGTCCCACCGCCTTGTCCTCCTTGCCCCCCTCTCCACCATCCTTTCGCCTGAGCTCCAAGCTCCTGCGCGCTGCAGATACAAGGCCGGTGCCGAGTCTGAGTCGACACCTGGCTCTGCGCATTGCCAAAGAGAACGCAATGGCAATGGACGGGGGGGCGGGTAGAGATTTGCCAGATGTGTCGCGAGCGCGTTCTCCTCCTTCTCCTGTTCCTCCTCCTCCTCCTCCTCCTCCTCGTCTGCGTCCTCCTCCTGAAGCCCCTTGACCCCGATTAGGACGCCACACACGACCACAGCGGGCATCCTGTCCCACATCCCTCATCTTCTTTTTCCTCTTGCTCGTCCATTCCTCCTCCTGTGTATCCTCATCCGCCTTCCCTCTCTTGCCCCCGTTTCGCCCTTCTGTCGCAAACGGTTGGAAGGTGGAGCTATGGCGCAGTCCTCGGTTGCAGCAGGCTGCCCTGGTTATCCACACTCGGGCCGAGCGCCAGCAATGCTCCTGCCCGCGAATCAAGGCGCATCCAGGAGGAACTGATTCTTCAGGCTTACGCCACATCCGCCGACCCCTTAAATGAGTTCGAGCAAGACATGTCTGACGCTGTTGAAAGAGCAGGCGGAAATGTCGGGTGCACAGAAGAAGCACAATTCATCGGGGGAGAGGCTCCGTCGGAAATGCGCGGAGGGGCGAGAGAACGAGGTGCGACGTGACGTGCGCGGCGTGCGGAGGAGCGTTCTCGGACACGAAACATTTGCAGCAACAACAGGTGGGGAATCATCAAAAGGCGACAGGAGCGGCGCGTGCAAGATAAGACTACCGAAGTCGGAGAGGTCGTTTGGCGTCTCGGAGCTCTCGTGGGCCGTCTTGGAGGTTTTTTTGGGGGCCTTCTTGGCACGTGTTTAGGCCCTCTTGACCCCGGGAAAGTCCCGTGATGCGCTCGTGCCGGGCCCAGGGGGGGCAAGTCTCCGGTTTGAGGCCCCTGGGGGGACTATGGGGGTTCTCTGGGGAGGCATCTCGCAGGCTTCGTGGAGGTAGTTTCGAAGTTCACTGATAGCCGTTTTGGGACCTCTTGGGGCCTCTTGTGGGCCTTTCGGACGCTTATTGGAGGTCTTTTGGGGGTCTCTTGGAACCTTTTGGGCGGCTCGTGGGGTCTCCCAGGGCCAGGTGGGAGCGGAGGGCTCGGAATGTCGGTTCGGGCTCCGTCGCTGGGGCCCCTCGAGGAGCCGTCTTGGGACTCTTGTGGGCCGAATCGGGAGCCTCTGGGGCCGTCTTGGCGCCGTTTTGGGCCGTCTTG